CCTAAGTTTCCTTCTAATATCTGGAGCTGATTGTAAGATAAAGTTGTGGTGAAGCATAAGCTGTCCCTCTGCAGACTCTGGGTCATACTTGGTATACTGGACCAGAGAGTCAGTGAGTCTGTCCATAAACTTAGCTGGGGTTTCAGCAGAGCCCTGAGTAATCAATCTAAGCTTTTCAAAGTTAACTACCTTAGGGGGTGAAGCTCTCTGTAGGCCTGTCAGGAGGCAAGTGATCATGTGGTCCCTGGCTGCTCTACCTGGGGAAGGTCCTGTCTGACCTCCTGGTGGGGGTTGGTAATCCCACCCAGGGTCCTGAAGGGGAACTGCCTCACTGCCAATAGGGTGAGCTTGGTTAGTAGAATGAAGCTCATTAGCATATTCCTGTGCTGCTGTCCAGACCCTATGTCTCTCGTCAGGGGTGAGGGTAGACTGGAGAATCATAAAGAGATCATGCCAGGTTAGATCATAGTTACAAGTAATATATTTAAACTCTTGTATGAAGTGAGTAGGATTAGTGGAAAAGGAACCGATTTTACACTGTAGTTGAGAAAGATCTCCAAGAGAGAAAGGCACAGGGACTTTGACAATCCCGTCCACGCCAGCCACCTCCCTGAGGGGAAAAATGTCATGGGAAGGGGGCTGAGACTGGGTGTGGGAATGGGTATGGCTTGACATGGGAGAGGGGTTGGGAGGAGGCAGAAGAGAAGAAGGGGAGTCCTGGGACGAAGCTGAAGTGGGAGAGGTGGGAGGGGTGTCCTGTCCATGAGAGGATGTAGGGGCAGCGGTGTCTGAGGCAGGGTCTGGAATTGAAGTAGAAGCAGATACAGGAGGGGTAAATGGGGTATTTGAGGTAGAAGTCAGAATGAGGTGTTCTTAGAGTCCAGTCTTACATGTAAGCACAGACAGCACATGCGGGTGGGGATGGTAGGAGAGGTGTGTGGTGTGATACTTTGTGTCTGAAGTTCTTCACTGAAATTACTCAATGGAACTGAAATCAAAATGTTTAGGTTCATGGGGATGGGAGAGGAAATATGATCATATGAGGAGAAAAAAGACCATAAAGATACACTTAGAAGTGTGTAAACAGGCCGGGGAGACAGTGTTTCCACGCTGACCTGAGATTTGCTGGTCTGCTATTGTGACCATATTTTGTCTGTTCCAGGTTCAGCTTCAAAGGAGAGATGCTGGGAAAGCACAAAGAGGATGAGGAGTGGAGAAGCTCTATGTATAGGTTACATCTCTACATCTACCTATCATCTAC